TGTCAAACATTTTATTAATAAAATGTAAATTATTTAATAAAGTTTATCACAACTAAAAACATCGCTTGTGTACTCTACTTATATACAGCTCACTTGTATCCGTATTATTCGTTTTACAAAATTTGATGATTTAATGATTTAATGATTTAATGATTTAATGATTTGCATTTAAAAAAATATGCTGTCATGGTAAACTATTGTTTTTAAAACAGTCAAGAATATTTCTGTATGCAATTAAATATATAATACTGTACTTTAGTATAGCCTAGTTAAGTTAATTAAAATGTTTTTTAAATACATTGATAAACGGGTTAATATATTTTAATTTCTAAATATTTTTGTTTTAATCAGTGATTAATAATCACATACAATTTAACTCGGTCTGGCCGTATCTCCCTGGTCACTAATCAATAATGTACATGCTTATTTCTACTTACCAAACGAATTGCACAAAATTATAAAAAAAATTAATAGTGTTAACTCATTAACTCATGAATATTCTATGGATATTCTATGAATAAACCATGGATATTATTAACAGTATAGACATAGGTTTAAGATGGAAATGCTAGGCCTATGGCAATGCTAATCCTATGAATAATGTTAAGTCTATGGGCACACAAACAAAATAGAATTAATAACAAAGAAAATTACTATTAAAACTGAATAAATATCAACAATAAAATATTACTAATACTTTTATATTCATAATTTTATTAGAAATTACTATTTACTATGGTATAAGTTTGTAAAGGTTCAAAATATTTTGATTACATAATATCTTACAGTATTATTGAAATTTAAAATTTTAATATTCTAACAATAATAAGTTAATAGGAAATATATTTTATGCTTGTTTTGGGAGTTTAATTGCAAAATCAATGATTTATTATTGAATGTCAATTGAAATTAATATAATATTATTAACATTTTAATCGATAGCGAATGACTTGAATATAATATCGATGCTTTCCAAAAATGTGGAAATGTGTTCAAGGTAACTTTTTTACAAGAAATAATGATTTGAATCAAAAGAAATTTTATAGGATGAATGAGTATTTATCCATGTTCAATTTTATGTAATTATATAATTTTTATGTCTATTGGTTTAGATGTGGTGGACATCTAAAGACAGTGATGTCCAAATTTGCTTTGGCACTTTAGTAAATCAATGTAAAGTTCAATGGAGTTTTACATTGAAATATATATTTTTGCGTAAATATTTTTATCATTAAATTTATTTTTAAAAATTTATAGTTTATGTGTATTTAAGTGCATAAACTATTATTATTTTTTCAAACTCAAGACAAATAAAAATTTTATTTACTATTAATTTCCCAATTCGGCATAATTTTAGTGTATAGTTTGATAATTAATGGTTATATATATTTAAAACATGTGCCAAACCAAATTTAGACATGACTGTCTTAAGTTGTCCACCACTTCTCAACCAATAGACACAAAAATTATATTATTACATAAAATTGAACATGGGTAAATACTCATTCATCATATAAAATTTCTTTTGATTCAAATAATTATTTCTTATAAAAAAGTTACCTTGAACAAATTTCCACATTTTTGGAAAGCATCGTTATTTTCTATCAATTATATATTTTATAAAATTCACAATATGTTTCACAAAATCAATGTTGAAAACTTGATAACTGTATTGGTTTTTATTAATAGTTTTCTAAAACATTGGCACAGAATATACTATACGTTTCGACACTTTTGCCATTGACTTAAAATTTTGAAAACTACTGTTAAATACTTTTAAAACATAAATAACAGTGAATTGAATATCAGTTAATATTTTTGAATAAATTATTATTTTTAAAGAATCTAATAATGAATTCTTTGATGAGAAAAGCATTTGCATTAAAAACCAGAGCCAAACATGTAGTCAACGATTATATGAGAAATAACAGGTCTTTGAGTGAAGAGATTAAAAAGATTGACAAATATATGAAATATTTTTGTACCACTTTATCGACAACTTTTGATGATATCATTACCGGTTATTACACTCGTAATAGACTTATATGGTATATGATAGTCAAATTGAGCATGGTCTGCTTTGTCTGCTTGGTTTCAATTATATTCTTCATGAATCACCCAATTATTGAGATGCTTTCGGGCGATATTTTCAATTACCTTGGTGATAAAGTTATAATTGGATCACTACTTATTGTTTTATTTATTTCCATCATTAGTTTTATGATGATTATGCTATACCACGAGAGAAGCGGTGTTTTCGATGTCTTCCAATTCATGCACTCATTGCTATACAAACGACTCAAATATCCATTGAGTGGTCGGATGGAGAAGAAAATCGCTGTAAAGGCAAGTGTTGTCCGCAAAGCGTTGGCCAATATTTGCTTGTTTTTGGGTTTAATAATTTGTGTGATTTCTCTGATTCTAATAGTTATTCATATATTTAATCCCATTATATTAATGAAAACAATATTTATCACAATGTATTACACGTGTAATGCGATTGCAATCATTGAATCGTGCTTTCCTTTGGATCTGTTTTGTTATCATATTCATTGATCTCTCTTATCTGAAATGCAAATTCCTTGAAATTCACTCAACCATTGCATTCAGTGTTAAGTATAATAATATCCGGCAGTTATTGAAAGCTATTCATGAACACTAGTACAGTATTAGGAGCGATGGGTTAGGCGTTTGAATCATACCATAAGATTTTGAATTTTTATTTTCTATTATATGTTATCAACTGGTATTGAATTAATGATTTATTTGTTACATCACAAAACTGTAGCACTTTTACCCCGCATTGCATTACCTTATGAAATATTAGTTGATTTACTTTCTGTTATATTCACATTCAAATTATTTGCATCCATCCCGAGAGCAGCCCATAAACCATATCCACTCTTATTATCATATCTAAGCCGAAGACCAGTCCTCTCACCGACCGATCAGTTAAAAGTGATGGCATTTATTGAGAGATTGTCGTCGGATATGAAAATTGCTTTCTATTGTTTAGATATGTTTGCCATTACTTCACTTGAATTCTCGCAATTCCTATACTTTTGTTGCTCTAATTATTTTATTTTAATGTCATTAATGTAGTTAAATAGAGTGATTGCTATTTCAATGGTTGTCGACATTACTCTTATATACAGATAATTGGTTTTTATGTTTAACTCTAGAGTTAATTAAATTCTTATCCAATTAATAATTTAAATATATTCTGATAAATTCAATAACATTTGTTTTAAATTAGACGTTACAAATTGAAATAATAACTTAACATTAATTAAATCACGTATTAATTAAACATTAAAATCTATATTTATTGCAAATTAAAATTAAGTTATATTTCATTATTGTATTCCTTATACAGTAAAAGGAAGGGAATTGACCAAATATTTCAAATGTAACATGTCACATTTGCATTAAATGCATAAATTTTATACACAGAGCAGTGCTTTTGATTCGCACATAAAAACGTGTGAATAAAGCGATTAACGCTCACAAGTTGTCAGCGAGTATTGAAGGCGTGTTTTGCCGGCAAAGGGTTTGCTTTGTATGGCATGTAATTTGTGAACCATTGGGTCTAATATAAGTATAATAGTCTATTGTCTAGTTACTAGACTCTAGTACAATAGTAGTAACTTTATATTGCCATATATTGTTTGTTTGTTCATTTGCGACTACAAATTGTGTCCCAAATTAATCGGCAAACGATCGCAGAAATTGAATCACTGATGGAGTTGTCGGGCGTCGGGGAGCGAGTCTTCGCCGCCGAATGTATTCTTCAGAAGCGGATCCGCAAATCGCGTGTTCAGTATTTAATCAAATGGAAGGGTTGGGCCCCGAAGTACAACACGTGGGAACCCGAGGAGAATATTCTGGACGCAACACTTATCCAGGCGTTTGAACAGACGCTGCCGACGACACCCCGTCGACGACACCGATGGCGCGGACGCAGCGGTTAAAAGTGATGGCATTTATCGAGAGATTGTCGTTGGATATGAAAATTGCTTTCTATAACATGTTTCTCATCGATTCACTTGAAATTTCTCAATTTCTATACTTTTATTGCTCTAATTATTTTATTTTAATGTCATTAATGTAGTTAAAAATTACTACTTTTTAATTAAACAATTAATGTAAAATTGTATTATTTTTTAACTTCAATGTTTTAAAATTGATTACACAAGTAAATAACTCTTGATAAAGAATTTAAAAACTTTTTTGAAACTACCAGAATTATTTTGCAATATTTAATTATCATACTTTTTAAAATTAAAATACAATTGATTCGTATACTTGTGTTTAGAAATATTTCATTGGTTGTAATAATTGTAATAAATATAATTAATTCAAACCATAATTTCTCAATATTTCTATTAAATTTATTGAATTTGTCGAAAGAGTGTCTTCAGAGCCGACAATTGCTTTCTATTTTAATGATATGTTTCCCTTGACTTGACTTGAATTCTCGCAATTCCTATACATTTGTGCCTCAAATTACTTTGTGTTCAAAGAGTTATTTTGTAAATTTAATTTCTCATTCAAATGATTGCATTTAATTGTTTTAAACAATTATAAATTGCTTTATTGCAAAGAATTGAACACACCATATATCTTGTCATACATCTGATTACTGTTATTTCGTATTGGATTTGAACGAGTGGTCAAATACTGGTCACTGAGTTGTGGTGCGATCGCTGTTTGATTAGATAACCGTTAGATAATAGTCAACACAAAGACAATTAAATACAGACACTTATGAGTTGATATGTGTGGCCAGTTGTTGGTCACCGTTTGTCACAATTTTGTCCAACTTTTTGCTAATCGGTTTGACATTCGTGTGAATCCATTCCTCGACTGTCGTGTCGTAAAACATTTTCTTCATTTCTGTCTCTATTTGAAGCCTCATTTGTTGGACACGAAACAGAAGTCTAATTAAAACATACAAAATATCAACAATTAGTGTCCATAAAGATAGCACATCCGGAAGGAGATGGTGTCATACACTCTGGCCTTCAATAGAAACGCCTCGATGTGTAACGGATTGGTTCTGTTCAGTGATATCTGGTATGAAGTGAAGGCGCCCTCAAGACTATTACAATAAAGACAATCAATTGGTTAACACTTTATAAATTCAGACAATTATCTGTCAAACCTTTGATTACTCTTTAGTTCATTGAATTCTTTGACTAAAAACTGCCATTCATTACAAAGTTTAAAGAGATTTACACCGGGATAGACATCGGAATCAATTGCTTCTAAATCGGTGGCACTATTGATATCAATGGGGATCAGCTGTTTATTGCCGATAAAAGTGGACACATTTCGCTGTATGTCTTCATTAAAGTCTCGTTCATTGAACGCAAACAAACACATCATCAAAGAGATCATTGAATTGGGCATCAGTTCGCATAGAGTGGTCATGTGATCGAACCGTTGCCAACCGGTGAGCGCCAGACCGGCCACCCGTTCGGCCAATTGGTTGTCCTCAATCACCCGAACCCACGCCAAGTGATTACTAACGTAATGGTCAACCGATGGCAGCATTTGGTTCATTTTGGCCGCGCCTTTGAATGCGCTGGCGATCCAAATGCGGTCAAACGAGTGCTTGTATTTCGACCACAACTCCGGGTCCCGGAGCTGAAAGCACTGGGCGTCCAAATAGTGCCACACCATTGGCTCAACCAAACGATTGAGTCCGGAATCGGCCAGAGTTTGGTCGTCAATGTGTCGCATCATATCGTCCCATATAATGACTCTTATGTCGAAAGTCTTTCGCACAAATTCGGCCACTTTTCGCACGTATCGCAGGAATAGCTGTGATTTGTCCGCAAGACAGTGATCGGTGAGGTATTGCCGGCACCGCTGGCAATGACCCAAATGCCAGACCTCATCGCAGCCGATGTGAATGGCGTCCAATTGTGTCCACCGCTGGTGACCGGCGATCATCTGCCGCAACATCTCCTGAACGGTGTCCAGCGATCTGTCATTTGTGGGACACAAGGCGTTGGGATAGGCGTCCACTTCGCGTAACTCTCGAAACGCCGATACTTTCAACACGAACTCCATGTGTCCGAACGTCTGGATCAGTGGCACGATCTTCAGCTGGTGTTTGTTGGCCGCAGTGATGATCGCCTCCATGTCCTGCCAGTCGTAAGCGTCGCCGCATCGGAGGTCACTCAACGACCGCTCGTACGGAAACATGTCTTCGTATTCAATGAGAAGTCCAGTGATTCCCAGCCGTGACAGACATGGGATCAGTTGCTGCCAATAGCCGGATCTAAACGGCGCGCCCTTGAGGTCGATGTGAACCAATCGGTGGCCAATCGTATCCATTGTTAACAACTTTGTCACTACTTTTAATCAAAGTTTTATAAATAAGTTAAACGTATATTTAAATAATGTAAAAGTGTTTAAACAATAGTTCAATGAATTATACGATTAAAAGTAATGAGAAGTTAATTGTTTACAATCATGTCATTCAAGGATCAGATGGTGTGATAAACAAGTGATGCTAAACACGCATGTCTTCACGTGGTTTGTGTCCAATCAATTGATCTGCACTTATATTTGAAACTTTGTGTTTCAATTCAATGGTTAAGTTTTCATTACTTTTAACACTAAACTAATTATAATTATAAATAAATATATAAATAAAAGTTTAAAACTTATTTCATTAAGTTAACACTAGTTTTTATAAACTTTTTAGAACCACCCTGGTGCAATAAAAAAAAACGTTAAACATTACGTTAAGCATATAAAACATAAATAATAACTAATTAATTACTACTAAATAAATGTTAAACTTAATTTTATAACTAATTAAACCCCAAAAATTAAAACAAATATTAAATCTAAACTTTTAATCACAATTAAAAGTCACAAAAAATCACAACACATTTCATACATAGTTCGGGGCCGCAAAATGGGCGCCAAAAGCGTGTAGTCATGACAACAGACAACACACACTCGCCATCACAGGTTTGAAAGCATAGGTCACGTGACTTGCGTTGCATTGAGTGAGTGAATGGTGTGTGCGTTGAGTCGACGACACACTTGTAATCGCAATCATTAATACCGACGCCAAAAGTGGTGACCAATTGAGCGGACATTATGTCTAAATCTCTGCCCAATCGGTGGCTCTTCACGGAGGAGAGGCTGAGGGACACGCCCTCCAAGAGGGACGACATCGGACACCAGCAGGAGATTCATATGCGACAGAAGGGAACCGCTTTCATCAAAGAAATGGCCGAA